TATATAATATATATATATATATATAGTTGTTATATCGAGTGAGATTCTCTTCATTATAATAATATTCTCGTTTTTTTATGATTACAGGTCCAAGAATGCGGTGACGTTGAGAAACTGCTTGATCCGAAAATACATATCGTAATACACATATGCAAGTATTAATTAAAATATAAAAAATCATATCCAGCGTCTACAACACTAATTTATATTGATGCAAAGCCATTCTGCATTGGCATAACGAAAAACCAAATGCGACATATCGATTGATAAACATATAACGCTACATCATTAAAACTCTGCCTTGTTTAAAAACTGGTAGACAATTTGCAACGATATATATCGCAAACTATATCTAATGTAATATTAGTTTCGCACAAAATTTAGAGATATCTACTTTATCTCACATCTATCGCAACAGTATCGAGAGAGATCAATTGTGAGAAGAATAGTCTCGCTGAAAACGGATGATAAACACATGTACTATCAAAGAAAGGAAAGTTATCGAGTTTATACGTCAATGATTGTCAGTGATTTTGATTAGGATAAAGAATCGTTCTCAGGAGTCGAGACTCTCGCTGTGAAATTCCTAGCACGATTACTCGTGAAAGGAACGCGTCTCCTACCCGGGCGTTTAATTAGCGTCCTCGATCGCGTAGAAAGGAGGAACTAGCTTAGGTGCCTGGACCTTTTGACGTCACACGGCGAGAGCCGACCGGCGGGAGATCGAAGAGGGGCGAGAGGATGTTGCTGAGGTAACACGACATTTCGAGGCCGCACGAGAAGTACGATAATCGCAGCGCGGGAAGGTGTCGATCGTAGCAGGCGCATAAAGAAAGGATCGAAGAGTGACGGAAGGATGGGTTTTCCCAGGAGAAGGTCGCTGTGGCTGAAGGTGGCGGTACTAGCAACCGCCGTGTGGGTGACCGTCTGTTTCCTGCTCTATACGGAGGATCGGGCGGCGGCGGCTGCCGTACAAGGATTGGCACCGTCGGGCGTCGCGATGCCGCAACAAGCGGCGAATGGCTTTGTACCACCCGCGGCGTCGTTTAGAAAAGAGTCGACTGGTAATGCTATTAACAACAGGGCGAAGATCAATCAAGTCGGCCTTAAGCAAGGTAATTTTTCCCCTCCCCCCTTCTTTTTATTTATTTAAGTTTGTTAGAAGATTAATTTAATTTATTGGATTGTTAAGAATGCGTGATGTAAATTAAAATGATCATTTTGCATGTAGCTGAAGAGAGATAAGTGAAGGGTTACGTCGTTTACATCTCTTTCTCTCTGTGATTAAAATCATATTCTTTATCGTTTGCCGATGTGACGTAGGTGTATTATGAGTTGCTACATGAATCACGTCTGTTAGGAAACGGCTTAATAGGCAAACACCCTACACACATATACACACACACAAAACACAGGCGCGCGTTAGGTGCGAGTTAGGTCTTAATAAGCTGATAGATGTCCCTTTTGGAATGCATGGTCTGTGCATGAATCATACCTGAGAATGTTTGATTACTTCGCAAGCCACCTGTGGCTCAACCTGTGTCCGACATTTCGAGAACATTTTTCAAACAAGGTGGATAAGAGAAAATTTATTACATATCATTACACATTTTCTTCATTGCGCTTATGACATTTAATAATTACGCGCTATATGTGTAATTTCATTTCTATAAAGTTCACGAATATAAAATCTACGAATTTTAGTAATTGTAAAATATCACTAAAAATTGGTACCAATATTGCAAAATTTTTTTCTTATTTTTATCATAGACACAAATTATATAGAAATTCTATGTAATTAATTCTCCAAAAAATATCTGTTGGAAATTTAATTTGTTTACGATTAATCAGACAGAAGGAAAAAAAAATGGAAAAATAATTTAATTTGAAAAAAATGTTTAAAAATCCTTTTAACCCGATTCTTGTATCGTTTATGCGTCTTGCGTGTCGATCGCATAAGAGAAGCAGGGATAAAGGCAAACCGCGCGGAGAAGAACGTAAAGCTATAGGTATGATTGTACACGCGAAGGATCCTCAAAGACGAAAGTTCTCTCGGGCGCAATAAGGAATCTTTGGTAGTTCACCCGCCGCGTTCATCCCTTATTGCCAGACACGAAGTACGAATGGGGCTTTCATAATGCATGGATCATCCCGACGATATTATCGACATTGCACGCTAGCGAACAGCGCGATATGTGTATTAGAGAGGAATCTGTAAATGTGGATCCTGAACGATGCTTAGTCGTCTCGTCGTGCCGCGCGCCGGTTGATGCCTCTCACGGTTGATGAAGCTCACCTTCGCAGAGAACTTGGCGTCCTCTCACACCCGGAATGACGTGTTAATGAATGTAAATGCCTTTACGGGCGTGAATGCGTGTTCCGACACTGAGAAGGAACTGAGAAGGAACCGAGATGACTCTCATCTCGCGCGAACGGAGGGGAAGGAGATTTCCTGGAGCGGCCGGATCCTCTCCAAGAAAAGCTCGTAGTGTAACAGCGACGCAGCCGTGATGCACGACGCGAGTTTCACCGCCGAACTTCGTAGCGGCCCGGGTCGCGGCGCTAAAGCAATTTGTCGTCCTCTTTATTGCCGCATCGTACACACCGGGGCCGAACTTTGTCGACCGGGATAAAATTATTTTCAGGACAGGCGGGTCGGGCGCGCCAGCCAGCCGACCATATCGCAGAGCGTATACTTGCCTCGTTGGCTTTAGCAGGGCTATGCCGCGGCAATATGGCGCCGGCAAATAAAACTGGAGTTTATGCGAGAAAGCTCTTAGAGGGTGTTCCTTCGAGACCCGGCGCGTCGGGAATGTGGATGTGCTGAAAATTCAATTCCCGATGCCCTTTTTCTCCGGCGCGGCGCGGCGCGGCGCGTCGTCACCGTCGCTACCATCGCATCGACTCGTTTCTCCTCCGACGTTAAGCATTATATTCCCGCTATTCAGACGAAACGAAAAGCGAAATGAAAATTAGCCGAAACTAAACTGGAACGGCGACACAATACGAGCGGGGTCACTATATATCGCTTCATTTACCTTTTTACCTTGTCGATGCGTAAGCAGCATGATAACGTCTTTCTCAATTTATTAGCAATTCTAATTTCAATTAGAGGGAAAGTTCTCTTCGCGATATATGATTACACTTATAAATATTGTTAACCTCTGCAACATAATAATTTTGTTAACATCGTCATTAATATCGATTCAATACCGCCAATCTCCTTTTTCCAATTATTAATCTTGAAAATTTATTCAATAAAAATTTTAATTTTGATTCTGAACTGCTCTAGAGAGAATGCAATGAGTGAAAAATGAGATAAAATTAAAACGAAAGTATAATTTTGTAAGCAAAAATATTATTATATCTTTTAAGAGGAATATTCCTAGATTGTTCAGGCAATATATAATTTTTATTTCTTATTTACATATTTATATATTTCGTGACATTTCCGAAGATTGATATGACAATAATTTTTGTAACATTTTAATAAAGATTCGATAAATTAATGACTGAATATTTTAATCTTAATTCTACCTAATTTGACGGTGAGATAAATTTAAGGATATATATAATGCACAATTAATAGACACGATGTATAAAATATTCAATGACGTACCAACACATCCTCATACGTCGATGTAATTCATCTGTGATCTTTGATGGCTTTTAGATTCTATAGGTGGTGGAGTGTTGGATATACCACGGGAACCGGATACTGCTGCACCCGGTGAAATGGGCAGACCCGTGATATTACCGGCTAACATGTCCGCGCAGACGAAGAAGCTGGTGGATGATGGCTGGCTCAATAACGCGTTTAATCAGTACGTCAGTGATTTAATCTCCGTGCACAGATCTTTGCCCGATCCACGCGATCAGTGGTGAGTCATGTTCATTACATATAATTTTAATTTGCAATAGTTCGCCAAAGTTAACAATACATTTGCCATAAGTAAAACGTTTAATTCCTTTCCTTTATTTTATTTAAAAAGATAATAGCTTACCAACGATGTGTCTCTGTAATAATGGAAATTTTATCGCAAACCGTCCTGCAAAGGACACGTACGATTTATTACGTTCAGAGAGACGCGATCGGTGGCTCGTTTATCAGCGCGATATTTGCCATCCGAGAAAATGAAAAATATACGCAAAGTAAATGTAAAAAAGAAAAGAAAAACGAGCGTTTAAACGTAACATCTCTAGAGGGTATGTTATATCCGCTATATAAAAAGGGTATGGTACGTTGGTCCCCGAGGCACCGACAGAGTAACAGCCAGCGGCGTTTCGTCGATCGAGACAGATAGGCTGCGGTAATGCGTCGGCGAATCGTGGCCGTAAATGTTCCGTGTCATTTTCCTTTACTGCAAGTACGGTCGCATAACATCATAACATGGTATAGTCCTTGATAAAACATGACGGGTTAAAGGCCACGACATCACGATCTAACTATCCTGGATCCGCCGATCCTTCCATTCTTCTTTCCTTTCATTTGAGAAAGAAGCACCTCTATAGAACATCTCCGGTGCACACGGAAATGAATCGTTCTTTACGAGTATAAGATTTGAGTTAGTAGTTTTCTTCGCGAGTACGATACGTGTACCGACGAAAAATCCAGAATCCAAACGCGATGCAAAATACGCACGCGAAGCAACAGCTGGATCATAAATTGTACGGTATCATACAGAATTAGTTTCCTTTTAATAGCGAGACCTGTTTTCTGCATTCGTAACTTGTTGACTTCTTTCATCTATAAGTGTAACGTGACCAGACGTCCTTCTTTCTTTTTGAAAAGGACAATCTTATATACGTATTTGATAAATATATCTTTTCTAAAAATATCTTACACCTTTCAAAGATACGTCGCGTTCTTCATTTCACTTTATCGATCACTTTTCTTTTTATCCATCCGACGTAATAAATATACTCACACAGGTATATTTATTTATTTACCATAATTGCGAAAGGACGAGAATACTGCGACTAAAATTGCATTTATTTCCATGGCTGCGAGGCCATTCGTTGCGAACATCGAATGTACCTGTTAATAAAGTTTCTGTTAAATGTCGATATCATATGTACGATCGGAAATTACTTTTCTTTAGTCTTGCGTTCCATCGTACCAAAGTGCAATTTATTCACTTTCAGGCACAACGCGCACGATCACGAAGGATATTAAAAACCGCTTTTGCGGATAACGTTTTATCCGAGGGCCAGAGAGAGTGCTCTCTCGCTCTGAGTGAAATACGTAATGCAATGGTGTTGCGAGGAGCATTTCTCGAGTAATATTGTAACGCAATGCCTCATGTAATTTGCATCGCGCCATTATTTTAATTACGGTACTAAGTTAAACGCGCTGCTATTATATGTAAACATCTCTCTTAAACGAAGAAGAACAACCACACTAATGCATACGTACTATTACGTACTATTACGTACGTCACTGCGTGTATACGCTATATGTGCGTTCAAGCTATGCTAATGACCCTCTATTCCGAATTCTTGTTAACGTTGCAAATTATTTTCCGTCTACGTCGCAAAATGTAATTTCACGAGGGGAGGGAGGAGAGGGAGGAGAGGCGTTCGCGTCCGCTCGCTTGCGCGAAGTACTACGGTACGTGTTGTTTAATTAATTGCACTGTGCCTAATTTGTTGCGCGCGAGTTGACCGTAATAGTCTAAGGATGAAAAGAGCGCGCGGGCGACGTAGTTCGGAAATTTAATCATCGGAAAATGCGTTACCGGAAATTAATACATTGCCCCGTCGCCGTGTTCTTACGTCACGCGGGAATTCTGAAACTCCCCGCTAGGAAGTTTTCAATTACACTATTTCATTAAAACAGAACGTTCTTTCGATCTCAATCACGTTAGAGGATTTTCTTCTCACAGGCAAATATGTTTGGAGAATTTAAATAATCGCTTTTAAGTTTCATATTTTGTCATATAGTATGAATAACAATACATTCTGCCAGAGATATTTATTTTAGAAACATTACATACGTATATTTTATTTACGCCCCACTTTTTTACTTACTTATCTTTGTCTACTTTTTTTTTACTTCTTTATTACTTTAGCGTGACTTGACTATAGCTCACGTCTGACTATAAGCAATTACGCCAAGCAACAAATTGATAATTTTGTTAAAATCCGTCTTGAAAATCGACGTGATTTATTCGAATGAAACCGGGCCGTAGGGCCGTAACTAAACAGTACCTGCGGTACGTCCGAAATATGTTTCGCGGTGACCGTAAATTTTCGCTAAAACTTCGTCCTGGCGGCGGCAGCGGCGTCGGGCCGACCGCGGTAGCGAATTAACCCCATGAATATTAATTACAATTTACATGATATTAACCGACATTATCAGGACAGGTGGGCAAACTTCGTGGGTGCCTGTTGTTACTGACACACCGCGAGTCGCGTCCGTAACTAACGGCTTGGATAAAGGTGCCACCACACCAGTGCAAGTGTGCTTATGAACAGGTGTCCTTGATTTAGAGCAACGAAGATTGTTCAGAGAGAAAATCGGTAGATAAAGGAGAGTGGGTATGAAAAAGCTTTTTTTTAAGATTTGAAAAAAAAATTTAATCTGCTATTAAACAAATATAATCACTTTCTTAATTAAGTATACTAAATTGTCTATAAGATCCATTTAGAAAAATTATTTTATCATTAACTGAGATTAATCACTATTTTATTATAAACTTAAAATTCAACTCTTTCAAAACAACATGATTTTGAAAAAGCTACAACCTGTTTTGAAAGAGCCGAATACTAAATTATTTCAGTTTTAATGTAAATAAAATCAAAATGTTATCCTATAACAAATATAATTTTTTTAAGGAAATTAATAAACGTGTGGAAAACAAAATATAATATTTCTAATTAAAAACACTTATTGCAAAAGAAATGAAAATTTCCCTTATTGCCACATGAAGTATGAATCCAATCAGAGCACAATTTGCATTGATAGTTTCCACTATTTATAGAATAATCTATTGAACAGACACAGCAATTATTATCATTATATTTTATTGTCATTATGTCGTGGCCAAATTTTGGTATTTTTAGAGATTGCCATGGTATTAGATGCAATCTTTCCTGCCTCAGTTTCTGAAATTTTATCAAATATTGCTATGTAATGAAATGTCCTGGCTATTTTGGCTGCTGTCACTAATTTCAAATTTTTTCCTAAGCGATTTTATAGATTTTTTTCATATCATTTCTGTATTTTCTTCTTTTTAAATTTTGATTCATTTTTTTTCTAATACTCTGCGTTTCTGGTGTGTCTGTTATAATTGCTGAATTTATTTTACGTTTATCTATTGTCTTTTTGCTAGACCCTGCTTTTGGAAAAAGATGTATACGTTCAAGTGTGACTATATTTTTTGCAGAAATACTAAGTTTTGGCTATGATTCGGATTCTTTAATTACATGAGTTGGTTCTTGAATTACAAGAGTTGATTCTTGAGTTACATGAGTATGTGTTACTTCTACAATGTTAGATTGTTCTTCTGATTGCTGTTGGAAGTCACTCTCAGATAGAGACAGTAACATATGAAGGAAGAAGTTTTCATCTGAGAGTATGTTTGAATTTAATGGATATATGCCAGTTTCAGCAAATCCTTGTGTCAAATGAAAGACGTCAAAAATGCTTCTCTAACAAATTGACCTACATGATAAATAGTCATTGTAAAATCAGGATTTGATAACATCCATTCATTCATTACTATTTTATACCTTCATTTAAATGGCGTGAACACAGGCACATCAAGTTGTAACCGATAGCTGCAATGTGGTGGGAAAGTTAAAATAATTATATGATTTTTTCTAGCGAATTCTATTACTGAAAAGTTTACATATGTACAATGATTATCCATAAGGATCAACACAGGATTTTGTTTTGTTGGATTAACATGTTTCACAAAATGCTGAAGTGCTGACATGAAACATTCTTCATTCATTCAACCACTACTATTAGCTAAGCCAATAGCAACTACTGGTCCATTAACTAACATAATATCCTTAACGAACTCTTGGAAATATAAAAACAGATAGCATTGAAAAGTACCATCATTAAGTTCTCTCGTTCAGCGGAAGTAATCTCTCAGTAGTGTCCCACTTGCTTTGTCTCACGCTGAGCTATTACTTGTGGAGGAATTGTGACAGTACTGTAACCGGTCTCATCAAAGTTAAAAATCAAGTGTGGTAGAAATTTATATTTGATCATAAGTGTGGTTAATTTCTTAAAAACCATATTAACATTTGTTTTATTGAAACTAGTGGCCCTTGATAGAAAAGTGGCTTCAGGTTTGCGAATTGTCAGACTTTTGTGACAGACTTGCGCTTCATAAAATCCTAACCAGTCAATACTTCTTTATTTGCCTTCCTTTATTTGTCTGGAGTAACGGGAAGTGTTTTAGTATATTGAAATGCTAAATTTCTTGTTTGTTTGTATGACAGACCATGACACATTTTTGATGATGTCTTGAAATAATCTGCTAAATCATTTTCCTGTTGTAAATATGCGTCTATTGCCTATATTAGGACAGTGAGCATATAAATTATCTGCTTCTTTTGCTCTCTTTACAATTTTAGCCAAGTATGCTCTTGAAATGTTATGAGCGAGTGCAATACTGTTGATGCTGTAATCATAATTAATAACTTCTTTAATGGCTTCCTGGATAACAGTAACAGAAGATCACTTTCTTTTCTTTGATTTATCTTTGGTATTATTTGACGACATTTTGTTGAATTAGATCTGAAAACAGTGAAATCGGTAATGCTTCACCTAATCTAGTAGCATAATCTATGAACTTACGAACTGTAAGAAATGCTGTCTTATAATACAGAAATACTTGAAAATCTATTTACCTACAATAAGTAT